TGGTATGGCTCAATGGACTGAACACCAGCCTGCAAACTGAAATGTTGTTGGTTCGATTCCCAGTTGGGGCACATGCCTGGGTTGTGGGCCAGGTCCCAGGCTGGGCGCATGTGAGAGGCAACTGGTCGATGTATCTCTCATACATTGATGTTTCTCTCCCTCTCTTTCTCCCTCCCTTCTCGTCACTCTAAAAATAAATAAATAAAATATTTTTAAAAATGGATCTGATCATTCATTTCCTTGGGACCCCATGTCAGCAGACCCTCACATGTCTTTTCCAACAGGCCCTACCAATATTAGCCTCTGCTTGCATACCTCCCAAAATGGGACACTCACTCCCTGTCAAGCTGGCCCCCTAAATCTTGGACAGTGTGGAAGGACTTTCCTCCAAGAGACATAGACCACCCCATTCCTGAGGGCTTGTACCGCCTGCTTCTAGTTTTCCAAGACACCTTGGAAGGCTGATCATCTTCTTCAAGGGCTCCAGAACCAACAGTGCTTTGAGGGGCAACAGAGTGAATTGGAGATTTGATCTCCTTCCAGCCTTGCTCAGCTTCCAAGCCCCGCCTGAACTCAGGGCCTCCCAGCAATCCAGGTTCCCAAAGCTCCCTCCCTCTGCAGCTGCTTCTTTAAGAAGCGTCACAGGGGCTGGTTCTGCTACTGTCCTTGGATCCTGTCCAGGGCCCTGATTTAAAAGGTATTGCAACGTTTTTTAAAAACAAACATGTGTTGTAACCCAAGGCCCCGGTAACCACAACACTGCCGGCTGCTAGCTGCCACCTCCCAGGCTGAGAGGAGAGGAAACTGCTCTCCGCCTACCCCACAGCACCCCACACTCTGCCCTGCACCCACCGCCAGCCACCGTAGTTACTATATTATATCAGGCTGGGAGCTCAGTGAGGGCAGAACCTGGGCTGGACCTGGGGGCTGCTGTCCTTCTGGGCCAAAGTGCCTTTTGGACCCATACCAGGTCCCTCGGGAACCAGTCCAGAACATATTCAATGGCTCCGGGACAGCGCTATCTGTCTGCCCTCCACCTGAGCTCCAGAGTGACCGTGTGTAACACCAGTCAGTCTGTGCCGCTCCCACTGCCCGGAGGATAAAGTAGAAATGCCTTGGCCGGGCCTTCAGGGCCTCTCCCTGCCCATCTGTGTCTCCCTCGCTCCCTGGTGTCACCCAGCACTCCAGCCGCATAAGCCACGGAGCCCCCTGAAAAGCCACACAGCACTGGGCATGAGTGTTCTTCCCTCCTTTTTAAAAATGTTACACCTGTGTGTATTGCAAAATGATCACTACAACAAGGCCATTCACACCTCCTTGACCCCACACACGATCGATCGCACTTCCCCACTTTCTAGACTGGAGCCCCTACTTCATCTGCACAGCCCCGCTCAGACGTCACCTCCTCCATAAAGCCGGCTCTTCCCTTTCCTCTCCCGGATCCAGTTAGGTACCATTTTTGCTTTCATGGTATTGCCCCAACCTCTTGTTACATTGTGTGGCTACCTGGATCACAGGTGATGCAATCCCCAGCAAATAGTAAATATTTGGTTTAGCCTACAGGACTCTGTGTGTGTAAGAGAGAGAAAGAGATTTATTTTACATTAAAAAACAAACAATTTCTAGCTTCTCTTGAAAAACTGGAAGGTCGGGCCAGCCTAGACCTTCGCTTCCTTCTAACGCCCGTCCGCGGCCACACGCCCCGCTGTGCTCCTCTTGAAGGGCGTGCGACTCCCAGCTCGCACCCTGCCCCATCTCCTGCTGGCCCCGTCCTCCTCTCTGTGCCCACCAGCCCTGTGGACATTTAGGGTTTAAGCCTTGGACCTCACCCGTATATCCCCCTGTGTTCTGGGCCCTTCCCATTGACAAATATTCTGCCTCCTTGCCCTCACAAACTATCCAGATGCCCCAGAATTCCAATATGCTGGCAAAGAATAAATGGATGAACAAAGTCAAGTCAATAAAAAATGTAAATGTCATAAATTCCTTTGTCAAATTATGTTTTCCAGTTTTTGCCTTGGAAAACACAGTCCCTGTCCTTGCCATCCGCGGAGTCTCGTTTTGGTCAGCTGCACGTGGGCAAGGCATCCATCGCAGTGGGGCGAGGAAGGCGGTATCAGGGTTAGGGAACTCAGAATTTTCCAAAAAGGACGGGTTAGGGCAGTTATCTGATGAAAAGGGGCTGCTTATACTGCTGTTAAATAGCAGGTGACAAGGTGGAAAACCATTTATTTTTCAAATCAGAGAGCAAGGGAGGCTGCCGGAGACCGCGGTTCCCTGAGGCAGGAGTCACAGCAAATATGTCTGGACCCAAATGGCGTGGAGAACGGATGTCACTTGGGACATTCAGAGGGTGCACACACTGTCTTCTGATAAGGGACATGAGGGGGCGTGTAGGAGGGGACATAAGCTGAGGTTATTGACAGGAACTGATGCTTGCTTGATAAAGAAAAGGGGTGACGTGAATCTTGCCACCTCTCCCAGGGCAGTCCCAAATCCCAGACCACAGGTCTCCTGGGAAAATAGGCAGGGATGCTTCTTGCTAATTAGCATTACTCAGACTCCACTCTCCTTTCAAAGGACTCCCCCATTAATTCAATTCAGTATAATTAATGTAGCAATTTGACTCCCTGGTGAGATGACCCACCACAACCATGCTACCAATGAGGCTCACATTTTAGTGTGAAAATTCCTCAGGCCCTCGTTCAATAGATGGGAAAGGAGAGAGGGCTCCAGGGAAACCGCCTTTTAACCAACAGTGCCCAGGTGGTTCTGAAGCCAATGAGCCTGCTCATTCTTTCTGCAACACTCTGACAGAAGCATTAGGATGCAACAATTTTCGGTTTCCTCTCATTTCCTTCTCTTACATATATTCCAAGAGGAAGCTGGCAAAAACAACATTTCCATCCAGAGTCTGGCAAATCCAAGGTACCTTTCTCAGCAGAACCTCATTTTCCACCTGCAGAGTTGAAGCTTGGGGCTACGCTGAGTGTCTTTAAGAGAAAATTATTCTTATTCAATTCAATATAACAAAACTTAATTAGTGACTGTGAATTGGTTAAAGATTGCATTCTGTTGCTGGTGGGCAGAATCTCAATGGCAGTGTCTTAAACAAATTTGTTGTTTATTCTATTATGTGAAAAAGTTAGGAAATAGTTGATCAACGCTGGTATAGGGGCTCCATAAATTCATCAGAGTTCAAGGCACTTCCCATTGTTTTGATCAGGATAACAAAATGGCTGCTGGAATCCAGCCATCAAGTCTGTATTCCAGGCAGGAAAAGCAGGGTGTGGCACAAGGAAAGGGGGATCCCTGCTCCAAGCTGAGCCATTCTCCTATTAAAAGATTTCCTGGAAGCGCCTACAATAATTTCCCCTTACATATCACTGGCCACCCACAAATGCAAGGGAAGCTGGGTAACTAGCCTGATAATTGGCCCAGCACATTGCTGTCTCAGAGAATATCAGGATTCTGTAACTAAGGAAGAGGGAAGAATGAAAATTGAACAAGGTGACTGGAAATCTCTGCCGCAATCTCCTAAGTATCGGGCGGGGTGAGGAGGGAGGAGACAGAGCTGTGTAACCTTTAGCCCATTAGGGAGGACGCGCAGAGCGCACAAACAAGTGTAATTCCGCGGAAGGCTGCCAAGTGTGCTGTGAGAACCACAGAACAGGTGCTGCAAGGCCTTCGGAAGGGGGACATTTGAGCTGCCGTTTGACACACAGGTAGAATTATAGCCCACAGAGATGGGTGGTGGAGAAAGACACTCTGCACAGACAACACGCATTTGGGGAGCAGTTGGGCTCAATAAGAAGGATGTGAACAGAAAAGGCTTTGGGGGCTAGAAAGATGTTTAGCAACCGCTGAGTTGAAAGATTCTTAACCTGGGATCCACACAGAGCCCCCATCGCAGGGGAGGGCCCTGAACTGCCTGAAATTCTATGCAAAACTTCTTATGTATGGGCACATTGTGCTTTTCTAAAGGAATAGGCTCTGGATAATCCCTGTGCTGTTCTTTCCAATCTTTCCCAAGAGAGCCCACCCCGCCCTCAACTTTTATCCCTTTACAGGCAACCGAGCTACAAACACTAATTTTTCATTCCCCACCCTCCCCAACCTCCACACTCTACCCTGACCTGACTCGCACTGTTCCTGCTCCTTGTAACTAACTACTCCTTCCTCCCTAGATACGGCAAGGTACGTAGTGGTTTCCCCATCGCTGAAAGTGTTTGGACACAGGCTCCACAAATACCTAGAAAGGAAGTTATAAAAGAGATTTGGGTTGCGAGCGACAGAAGAGAAGCATCAGATCCCATCCCAACCTGAGATTCTAGGATTCCCTTTGGCATAAATGTCCTTTGGTTTTAATATATGCCTCCAGGAAGTCCTCCTTCCCCATCCGCGGTCACCATGGTCTCCTTATCTCCTTTTAATGTTAATACCTTCCACATGGAGTATATAACTTAACATTAGCTTAGCTTTATAACCTGTTATGCATTGCTTCCCATCTTTTCCTAGACATAAGTCTAATGTAAAAGAAAAAAAAAAACCCACCAGCTTATAACTAATTCAAGGACAAGAACTTAGTCTTCTTCTCTTCTATCTTCAGTATCCCTTGCCCATAGGATGACCAAGTATCCCAGTGTGCCTAGGGCTTAGGATTTTCCTGGGACGTAGGATTTTTGATGCTAAATCAGGATGAGTTATTCACCCAAGTTGTCCAAGAAATGGGCACATCATAGTATCTGCTTATTGCTATCTGAGTGTGGTAGACTTTACTGCTGTTCACCACTGTTTGGGGTTCTCCTCTCCCTCTGGGAACACATTGCAGTTCCCCATCACCTTGAAGTTGGGCATGATTGTGTGACTTACTTTGGCCAATGAAATGTGAGTGGACTTCATGGGTGTCACTTCTGAGTGGTAGCATTGAAGACTCCATGCACCGTTCTCCGTGCACTCTCTTCTCTTGCCCTGGCCAACCCTGGAGCCCTGGTGCTGAGATGGCTGCATACAGGACAGTGTCGAATATTGCAGTGAAGCAGAGCCCACTGCCCCTGTGCTGGACATGCAGTGTGAGCCAAAGCTAGCTTCACTTGTGTTAAGTCACTGAGATGTCTATGCTTTTCATTACTGCAGCAAAACCTAACCTAACCCAACTGGTACATCAACCACTGAAAATCTCAAAGTTCATTAGCAACATATTCAAAGTCAAGTCACTAAGGCAAACAAACAACCCCCAAAAAACTCCTTAGAGTTATTTTCTCAGGCAGAAACTTTGAAGCACATAATCAAAAAAGCAAGTTGTATGAACGTGGGAACTTGAGACTAGTCTCCCACAAAGCTCAGGGAAGCTGGAGGCCAGACCACTTGAGAAAAGGGCTCCGGGAACAGAATAACCTTCCTAGTTCCCACACACCAGCCCAGATTATTGATTTCCATTGTTAACGTTACAATTTGAGAACAATTTAGAAACTTCAGCCTTTCAATGTTTAGGTGGGGAACTCTCCAAAAGGAAAAACAACTGGTTCAAGATGACCTCTCCACATTTTGCCATTTTCCTTGCTTTTCTACCTAGCTAATTCACGGTCATTTATTTCTTTGGCATTTCACAGACTTACCCATGGCTTCCTGGTGAAAAACTAGCCTCAGTCTCATGCATGGGTTTAAAAATCATATTTTAAAAAAATCTTTCTATTATTACAATACTAATTCCCATTGTAATTCTTTACAATGGTAATAAGTACATACTCATTTTTTAGTATAAGAAAATGAAAATAATTTTAAACACCCAAAACTTACCATCCAGAGGTAGTCACTAATGATTTTTTCAATAAGAATGAATTTGTTACATTTTATAATGTGTAAAACATTTATCCTCATCAGTATTTTTGCTGGTTACATGACATTCTATCTTTATGGATAAATGATAATTTATTTAACCAAGTTTCATTTCTTGGATGTTGTGGTTGTTTCGGTTTTTGGCTTGTTTGTTGGTTTTGGTTTTGATTAAATCACAAGCACTGCTTCAAGAAACATTGCTAATTTAAGAAGACACTCTTTCCTTAATATCTGTTTAGCCCGCCCTACATGTGGCTCTCAAACTTTAGCATGGGCCAGAATTACTGGGAGGGCTTGGGAAGCTACAGGTTGCTGAGACCCAGCCCCAGAGTTTAGCATCTGCAGGTCTGGGTAGGGCCTGAGAATTTGTATTTCTAACAAAGTTCCCCAGTTGTGCTGATGCTGCAGATTTGGGACCACATTTTGTGAACCACCATCCTGTGTTACTCACACTTCCAAGAACCTAACACCACCTGTGTCCTTGGTTTTCGTTATTAGATAGCCTGTTGCAACTGGTCTTACACTCTGTGCAGGGGGAAGTTCTTTTGTGGTCTCCTGTTTTTTCCCCACTCTCGACTGCAAGTCCCTTTCATCACCACACCTTTCCAAGTGTCTTCTGGGCCTTCTGTGGTTTCCCAATACACACACAGACATGCCTGCACACTGATTTTCAAAGTTAGGTGTCTTTTTCCCGTATTGCCACTCCTAGCAACCTCAGCGGGTAACACAGTGAGGGCAGATAAAAAGCCTTTTTCCCCCCGGGCCCTGGCACTTTATGTTCCGTATTCCCACTGCGTATGCCTGCCTGCCTCACGAAGTTGTTGGGTTTTTTTTTTTTTCTCATTGTTCTTCAATGTTTAATTGGCTTATACATTTTTTTACTTTTTAAACATCTTTATTATATTTTTCCCATTACCGTTTAGTCCCCTTATACCCCGCTCCCACGAAGTTGTTCTTAGGGACATCACTGATCCAAAACAGATAGAGTCGAATATCACAGACGCTCGTGAGCTGCAAAGAGCTCTCCACCCACAAGTGAGGGCACATTGCAAGCAAACTTAATATTATTATGCATTTGTAAGGAGATGGTTTAAAGCTTAGGTTCTGGGGTTAACACTGGGTCATACCTGGGCTCTGGTAGTTACTAGCTATGTGAGCTTAGGCCAATCACATCTTTGAGCCTCACCTGTAAAATGGAGGCAATAACACCTCTGTTGCAAGGAGATGACAAAAAATAGAAATAATATGTATGAAGAAGCAGGGACAGACACAGCCCTCAATAAATGGCAGCTGTTATGTTGAATTTTTAAAAATTGTTTTCATTTTTTCCTGCCGTTTTCTCTGCTGAGGACCCAGAAAAGCATCCATTGCTCGTAGGGATCCTTTCCGCTCTGGCCGGGGCTTCCTATCATTTACATTTACAAGAATTCTTTCTAGTCACCTGCCTCGAGCGGTGGAGCTGCGAACCCCACGGGCTTCTCAAGGTCCCGCTCTTCGGATATTTACGGCGCGCGGCCGCGCCGCTAGGGCTCAAGTCTGCGCTTTCAGGTTCAGTTTCATGGTCTCGCCGGCAGCCCTGGCCGGCAGGCGCGGACCCAGCCGCGGGGCCCGGACGGCAGGGCCCTCTGGGGGCCCCGGAGTTGGGAGGCGGCGTCCGGGAGCCCCCGGAGGAGAATGGGTTGCAGACACAGCAGGCTGAGCTGCTGCAAAGCCCCCCAAAAGGTAAAGGGCGCCGGCCGAGAAGTTTGCCTTCGGAAGGGAAGGGAAGTGTGGAGCGGCTCTGCTGCAGGGGATCCTCGGCCCCGCGGGCTCGCTCCGGGCAGCCCGGGGCGCCGGGCGGAGAACTGCGAGAGGCCGGCACAGAGGGAGGCGGGGAAGGCTCCGCCGGGCGGCGCTCTTGCCCCCGGCCCGGGGCTGAGCCACGCGGGGCAGCGGAGTTTACAAACACGGCCCCAGGGCCCGGGAAGGGCAGATACCTAATTCCCAATGCCAGAGTGAGGAAATCCCTAGTGCCTGTGGCAGATGCCCTTGTCCGGTCTGGGGCTGCTTGCTGTGTGGCCATGGACAAGTGACTTGACCTCCCCGGCCCTTCGGCTTTCCCACGTCTCCGAAGCAGACCCTCTCCAGGTCTGCTGCTCGCAGAGTGGTCCACGGATTCGCAGCATCCACATCACGTGGAGTCTGTTAGAAATGCAGAATCTCGGGCTCTGCCCCAGACTGCTTAAACAGACCCTGCTTTTTAACAAGAGGCTCAGGTGATTGATGACAGTAAGCTTTAAAGTTTGAGAATCGCTGATCTAGAGTCTCTTCAAGCCACGCGGGTGCTTGTGGACTGCCCCGGGGTGCGGTGGGGGTGGAGGAACTGGGAGGGGCCAAAGAGGGAGGAGACCTACAGCCTGCTCCCCTTCCCTCCCTTCGGATCCCCCAAGGGGCCTCAGAGCTGGGTTAGGACCCAGGAGACACTACTCAGGTTTCTTACAGTGGGACCAGCTGCCCCTTGGGGTCTGACAAGCCCAGAAGGTTCAGATCTTAGAGCCTGAAGGACAACCTCCTTAGGGGGCATCCTGAGGTGAGGAGGGAAAAGGGAGGACCCCTCAAGTCCTGGCCCTTTTTCCTCCTATTGCCTGCCCTCCAGCTAAATGGGAATAGGTGGTCCCATAAACTTGATAATCAGCCCCCTGGAAACCCTGACAGGACCCAAACTTTGAGAATATTTGGTCGTTTTTCATTGAATTTGAGCCTCTCTCTGTCCCTCTGTGCACCTGCTGTGCTTGTGCCCAAGCACAAGCTTTTTAGTCTGTTGGGCAGTCAGTGCTGTCCCCGCCCTGCTCCCTGTGTGGCCATGCCCCGTGCCTAGTCCGGGAAGATAAGTTTTGGTTCCAAGTACAAAACCTCCCCCGCTTTTCCTGGCTCCTCCTTTACTCCCAGTGCAAAAAAACCTCATCAAGCTCTGGCCCAGAAACCGTCACGTCTTCTTCCCTGGCTCCAGCAGGGAAACTGAGGCTTGGCTTCATCAGCAGAAGCACAGGGCCGGCTGACAGGGGTGGTGGGCAGACAGACCTGAGCCAGGCCTGAGCCTTGTAATCGAGCTGGCGATAGGTGGACATTGGTCCTGGGGTTGGGTCCTGGCTCTGCCACAAACATGATGTGTGACCCCAAGAAAACCCTGACCATCCTTACCATTCTCTGGGCCTCAGTTTCTCCTTCAATACAGAGAAGGGGGGGAATGCAGAATGGTTTCTAACAGTCTGAGAGTCTGTGTTCTGTCTACTTGTGTCAACCTCTCAGTCTGCAAAGTGGGCCAATGGTGAATTCCATCCGCACAGCGGTGGCAGGAGGCTGAAGGAGGGCCCTGTACCGGCCGGCCCTTCCACCGGCTGGAAGAGGAGACCACTGTGAGCGTGGGGTCCCGTGCCTCCTGGCCCTCCTGAGGGCCTTACCGCTGTCCCCGTCTGTCCTGGACCCCTGCCCCAAACTGTGAAGAGCAAGTAAAGTCAGCACAGACTACCCAAGTGAGCGGGGGGACCTTGGCGACCACCTGGGCTGAAGCGCCCAGTGTGCGGATGGAGGTGGACGCCTAGAGAAGGGAAGGGTCTTGACTGGTGTCACACAGAGTAACTGAGAGCAGAGCCTTGATATTCAGTCCCCCGGTCCAGGGTCCTTGGTCTCGGCACCTACCCTGCACTTTTGGTGGCTTCTTAATGATTCCAAAGCCCTTTGGCGTGAAAGCCTTCACCCTGTTGCCTCAGAGCAGCCTGGCCTGTCTTCCTCGCCCCGGCAATGCCAGGGCCCTGCCCCTGTAGGACAGGACTTGTAAGTCGATTTTGTTTAAAGTTCATGCCTGTTTCACATTCACACCCAGTCTCTCAGCCAGGTGCCAGCCCCAGAGCTCCTAAGCCCATCCCCAACGGGCTGCCAGTTCCCTGGTGGGGGGTGAGCGTGGAGAGTCTGAGGATGAGATGCACAAAAATGAGCTCAGACTAGAGGGGGACGGGTCACCACAACAGTGACTCAACCTGAGTGGCAGTTTACAGAGCGCTTACACACCCTGCTGAGCTCAGAGAGCCCTGGAAGTAAGGCTGAGTGGGCTGCAGCGTCTTCCCCACTTCACAGGTGAGGGACACGGGGCTTAGGGAGGAGTAATGTGTCCAAAGTCACAGAGCCAGCTGGTGGCAAAGCTGTGCGACTGAGCCTGGTCTTCTGCACGCCCTCTCCAGTGCTCATCACCTGGTACAGAGCAGGAGCTACGTAAATGTTTGCGTGAGTCGACGTGGGCCAAATAAGAGCCAGGCTAGGGCTTAGCCCAGCGTGTGAAAGGAGTAGCTCATTCGGCCTTGGAAGGCTTTTTGGATCGGTGGGGGAGCAGGGGAGGGGGGGAGATGCCTTGACTGTGTGTTGGAGGTTTAGTAGGAGTTACCCAGTCAAGGCGGAGAGAACAGCCTGAGCAAAGGCTGTGAACCGGAAAAAGGCTCAGTATGATGGGGCTTGTCATGGAGAGTGGAGGTGGCAGGTAGCAAGGAATGAGACCAGAGCTTTCAGTGGGGTCTACTCTGGCTAGGGACAGGGGCTTGACCACTAGGACTTCTCAGAGTCCCTCCGGGTTCAAGGATCTGAGGGTTTGCTGAGTTTGTTACAGTGCCTGGTGGTCTCAGCTGACCAGCTGTTCCAGACTCCTGAGAGGCCAAGTCACTGCCTTATGGGGACAGTTGAAATCCTGGTGAATGAACGTGTGGGGATCCCTCGCAGACCCGGGGTGCGCACTGAGGAACTATCTGCGTGACGTGGTCCTTCCTGTACCTGTCTTGGCCGAGACCATGGCTGATGTGGCCATGCCCCCTGGGAGGACTTTGGAGAAGGCCAGACAGACAGAGGAGGGGCCCTGGAAACAAATTTTCTGTAGACTCACCTGTAGGAGTGTGCAGGGCCTTCCTTCCCCGACAGGTTACCAGCCCCTCTGCAGGGAGGGGCACCTGGTACCTCATGGCCAACCCTCTGTGCAGGTGTCTGGTATGCCGTCTGAACTCCCAGTCCCAGGGCTTCTGCTCTGGCCACAGCCCCGTAGCCCTGAGCAGGCGGACAGAGGACCTGCGCAGCACTGCTCCCAAAGCAGGGCCTCGGGCAGCAGGCTCTCGATGGGTCAGTCTCTCAGCAGCCCTTCGTGATCATGTCCACGGAGCAGGCCAGGTGGGACAGAGGGAAAGACGCAGAAGGGAGTGACATGGAACAGCCTGCGTGGGTAGAAGTCAACTCAACCAGAGACACTGCAGGCAGGGGTTTTAGAGCTGGATTCACGTGGCCATGTATTAACTTGTCACGCGAGGCTCTGGGCTCTGTGCTGCTTCAGTCCTGGCTCCATCTGGATCCATCCAGTGACCGTGGAAGGACCTTGGCTTCTTCATGCCTCAGTTTCTTCATCTGTAAGATAAGCGTGATATTAGCTCCTGGCTCAAGGGTCGTTCCAAAGGTTCGATGAAAGAATGTGTTTAATAGCAGCCCTGATACACTGACTAGCAAGCGGCACACCCCTGATAAGAGGGAAATGTGGTAATGGCATAAGGGAAACATAGTCACACTCTAAGGACATCCCTGCCCAAACTGTACCCAAGGAAGGCAGGCAGAGATGTGGGAGCGGGGGAACATTAATGTCCTTGAAAGACCGTTGGGGTTGGAGGCCTGGAGGCTGGCCACTGCCTTCCAACCTCTGAAGTATTGCCGAGGGGCCTGAGAAACAGCCTTGTCCTCTGCTGCTCCAGAAGGTAGAACTGTGGTCAGTGAGGGGAAGCTAAAGGAAGCCTGATTCTACCTCTCATGAGGAAGAAGGGTAGTGAGTTCCCCATCTCTGGAGGAGTTCAAGTAGAGGTCAGATGATATTTTGGCAAGGATAGAAGAGGGGATGCAAGCTTTGGACTAGCAAATATTTAGGATTCCACTTCAAACATGTAATTATTCTGATTATTACATTGTTTGAGGCAGAATATCAAAATTTGGAAAAGTATAAAGAAATGGAGGAATCACTGTTAATCCCATCATTAAGAGATAGACTCTGTACATTTCAGTGTCATTCCTTTTCCTGCTGTGTAATACATGCCAGTGTGACTGTTTTACATGGTTGTGTTTCAGTTACTCAGCCTTGTGCTGGGGCATTCTCCCATGTTAAATAGTCCACACAGACATGATTTTGAATGGCTCCCTAATGTTCTGTGGCTGGCCTGTGACTTATTTAACCAGTTGGACACGTGGGTGTTGACATTACTCATGAGCATTCCTGTGTTTCACCCTAACTCTGGGCTAGTGCGCCTTTGCATTCGGAGGGGAGAGCTGGGGACGAGGGAAGGTATCCCGAGGGAGATGGCATGTTGGCTGGGTCTGGAGGTGGATGGACTTGACCTTGTGCTAGGGCGAGTGGGGTACGTGACAGGCCATGCCCGTAACACCTGCTTAGTAGGAGTGGGGCAAATCTGACCGTGTAACTCAGCGTGCCAAGGGCGGGGCGGTGAGGGGCTGGGAAAGGAAGCTGCCTTCCTGGGGGCTGCGCCCTCTGCCGCAGACACCGCAGGGACGTGGGTGAGTACGCGGCCTCCGAGCGGTTTGTGCCCAGCCTGAAAAATAATCCCCCCAAATCCTCCCCGCTAACCCGGATACAGGCTTCCACACGTATGCACCCTGAAACCTTGGGAGGTTGAACCGGATTTCTGTGCTATGAAGGAACGCCTGTACCCTCG